CTGCACGGCACACGACACAGTTATACACTGCACAACAGACCACAATCAGCTATACACTGCACGGCACACGACACAATCAGTTATACACTGCACGGCACACAACACAATCAGCTATACACTGCACGGCACACGACACAATCAGCTATACACTGTACGGCACACGACACAATCAGTTATACACTGCACAACAGACCACAATCAGCTATACACTGCACCCGACACAATCAGCTATACACTGCACACAACACAATCCGCCATACACTGCACGGGACACAACACAATCAGCTATGCACTGCACGGCACACGATACAATCAGCTATACACCGCACGGCACACGACACAATCCGCTATACACTGCACGTCACACGACATAATCAGTTATACACTGCACGGCACACGATACAACTAGTTATACACTGCACGGCACACGATACAACTAGTTATACACTGCACGGCACACGATACAATCAGCTATACACTGCACGGCACACGATACAATCAGTTGCACACTGCACAACAGACCACAATCAGCTATACACTGCAAGGCACACGATACAATCAGCTATACACTGCACGGCACACGATACAATCAGTTATACACTACACAACAGACCACAATCAATTATACACTGCACGGCACACGACACAATCAGTTATACACTGCACGGCACACGACACTATCAGCTATACACTGCACGGCACACGACACAATTAGTTATACATTGCACGGCACACGATACAATCAGGTATACACTGCACGGCACACGACACAGTTATACACTGCACAACAGACCACAATCAGCTATACACTGCACGGCACACGATACAATCAGCTATACACTGCACGGCACACGACACAATCCGCTATACACTGAACGGCACACAACACAATCCGCCATACACTGCACGGCACACAACACAATCAGCTATACACTGCACTGCACACGGCACAACACAATCAGCTATACACTGCACGCCACACACAATCACTTCTACACTGCACGGGCACACAACACAATCAGCTATACACTGCACGCCACAACACAATCAATACACTGCACGGCAACACACGACACAATCAGCTACACACTGCACGCACACGACACAATCAGTCATACACTGCACGGCACACAACACAATCAGCTATACACTGCACGGCACGCTACGGCACACATAATTAGTTATACACTGCACGGCACACGACACAATCAGCTTTACACTGCACAACAGAGCACATTCAACTATACACTGCACGGCACACGACACAATCAGTTACACACTGCACGGCACACGACACAATCAGCTCTACACTGCACAACAGACCACAATTGGCTATACACTGCACCGCACACAACACAATCCGCTATACACTTAACGGCACACGACACAATCAGCGGTACACTGCACATGACACAATCAATTATACACTGCACGGCACACGAAACAATCAGTTACATACTGAAGGGTACACGATACAATCAGTTATGCACTGCACACGATAGAATGAGCTATACACTGAACGGCACACGATACAATCAGTTATACACTGCACGGCACACGATACAATCAGTTATACACTGCACGACACACGATACAATCATTTATACACTGCACGGCACACGATACAATGAGTTATACACTGCACGGCACACGATACAATCAGTTATACACTGAACGGCACACGATACAATCAGCTATACACTGAACGGCACACGATACAATCAGCTATACACTGAACGGCACACGATACAATCAGCTATACACTGCACAACAGACCACAATCAGCTATACACTGCACGGGACACGACACAATCAGCTATACAGTGCACGCAACAACACAATCCGCTATACACTGCACGGCACACGACACAATCAGCTATACACTGCAGGGCACGTGACACAATCAGCTATACACTGCGTGCCACAACACATTCAGCTATACACTGAACGGCACACGACACAATCAGCTATACACTGCGTGCCACAACACATTCAGCTATACACTGAACGGCACACGACACAATCAGCTATACACTGCACGGCACACGACACAATTAGTTATACACTGCACGGCACACGATGGAATCCGCTATACACTGCACGGCACACGACACAATCAGCTATACACTGCACAACAGACCACAATCAGCTATACACTGCACGGCACACGACACAATTAGTTATACACTGCACGGCACACAACACAATTAGTTATACACTGCACGGCACACGACACAATCCGCCATACACTGCACGGCACACAACACAATCAGCTATGCACTGCACGGCACACGATACAATCAGCTATGCACTGCACGGCACACGATACAATCAGCTATACACCACACGGCACACGACACAATCAGCTATACACTGCACGGCACACGACATAATCAGTTATACACTGCACAACAGACCACAATCAGTTATACACTGCACGGCACACGATACAATCAGCTATGCACTGCACGGCACACGATACAATCAGCTATGCACTGCACGGCACACGATACAATCAGCTATACACCACACGGCACACGACACAATCAGCTATACACTGCACGGCACACGACATAATCAGTTATACACTGCACAACAGACCACAATCAGTTATACACTGCACGGCACACGATACAATCAGCTATACACCGCACGGCACAACAGACCACAATCAGCTATGCACTGCACAGCACACGACACAATCAGCTAGACACAATCAGCTATACACTGCACAACAGACCACAATCAGCTATACACTGAACGGCACACGACACAATCAGTTATACCCTGTACGGCACACGACACAATCAGCTATACACTGCACGGCACACGACACAATCAGCTATACACTGCACGGCACACGACACAGTTATACACTGCACAACAGACCACAATCAGCTATACACTGCACGGCACACGATACAATCAGCTATACACTGCACGGCACACAACACAATCAGCTATACACTGCACGCCACAACACAATCCTCTACACTGCACGGCACACGACACAATCAGCTATACACTGCACGGCACACGACACAATCAGCTATACACTGCACGCACACACGACACAATCAGTTATACACTGCACAGCACACGACACAATCAGCTATACACTGCACTGCACGGCACACGACACAATTAGTTATACACTGCACGGTACACGACACAATCAGCTACTCACTGCACGGCACACGACACAATCAGTTATACACTGCACAACAGACCACAATCAGCTATACAGTGCACTGCACACGACACAATTAGTTATACACTGCACGGCACACGATACAATCAGCTATGCACTGCACGGCACACGATACAATCAGCTATGCCCTGCACGGCACACGATACAATCAGCTATACACCACACGGCACACGACACAATCAGCTATACACTGCACGGCACACGACATAATCAGTTATACACTGCACAACAGACCACAATCAGTTATACACTGCACGGCACACAACACAATTAGTTATACACTGCACGGAACACGATACAATCAGCTATACACTGCACGGCATACGACACAATCAGTTATACACTGCACGGCACACGACACAATTAGTTATACACTGCACGGCACACGACACAATCAGCTATATACTCCACAACAGACCACTATCAGCTATACACTGCACTGCACACGACACAATTAGTTATACACTGCACGGCACACGACACAATCAGCTTTACACTGCACAACAGAGCACATTCAACTATACACTGCACGGCACACAACACAATCAGTTACACACTGCACGGCACACGACACAATCAGCTCTACACTGCACAACAGACCACAATTGGCTATACACTGCACCGCACACAACACAATCCGCTATACACTGAACGGCACACGACACAATCAGCTGTACACTGCACACGACACAATCAATTATACACTGCACGGCACACGATACAATCAGTTATACACTGAACGGCACACGATACAATCAGTTATACACTGAACGGCACACGATACAATCAGTTATACCCTGAACGGCACACGATACAATCAGTTATACACTGAACGGCACACGATACAATCATCTATACACTTCATGGCACACGACACAATCAGCCATACACTGCACGGCACACGATACAAGCAGCTATACAGTGCACGGCAAACGACACAATCAGCTATACACTGCACGGCACAATGCAATCAGTTATACACTGCACGTCATGATGCAATGAATTCAAATCCCCAAAATGCACATGTACATGATATGGAGAGGCAGTATACCAAATTTGGTGAAGTTTGTTCAAGCAGTTTTAGAGGTATGCTCCGGAAACAATGGGAACGCCAACGCCGACGGAAACTCAACCAAAAACAATGTCTCCCGACAGGGCTGGATATTGCCGTGATTCTCATATTGCGATATATTGCAATAATTTAAGAGATATTGCAATATATATTGTGATATATTGAATTGAGGGTTTCTGCCTAAGTGCGTACATCATAAATTCATAATAGCTCTGTGTGTGTGCGACATCATCTTTTAGTTGCTGTTACACCATACTTTCAGGCTCCCAGTCCCCATTGTGCATGGCTGTATGCCAATCGTTTACAGATAAATAAAATGATATAAAACCTCAATGTGGAATGTTTAATTGAGGTATTGCAACAAATGTTTGAGAACATAATGATAAAGTAGAGTAATACATAACATAAGTTTCATGGTCAGTGATTTTAAGGGGGTTCACCCATTTGATTCTGGGGAGCTAGTGGAGTCAGCAGTTTTGTACACACGTTTTAGGGGTTGGGTGGTTCAGCAAGTTTGTACATAACACTAGCTATGTTTAAAATTACGCTAAGAAAGTATGGGAAGGGGAGGGGGTCATTGATTTTGTGCGTGACATGCAGGGGGATGGGGGAGGGGATGTTCACTTATTTTGTACATACAATTTAGGAGGGAGGTGGGAGGAGGGAGGTGGGAGGAGGAGGTGGGAGGTGGGAGGTGGGAGGTGGGGTGTCATTCACATTGTACATGCTCCTCCATAAAAATCATCATCACACCCCACGCCATAGATTATGAGCGGTCCCTTAATTCCCCCAAAATATCACATATGGAACCATTCAAACCCACAAAACGTAACGCATTTGGCAGAATATTTGGCACTTTTGGAGCCACTTATAAAGATACTCCCACTTGTAAAATGTTAGATGAAACCAACAGAAATAAAGTATATTTGACACTTTTAGAGCACATGTTTTTTTGCTTGGAAATCAAGGGCAGATAATGCAAAGGGAGCTTACTCTGGATGACCCAATATATTGCAGAATCTGAACCATATCGCGATAATCGTATCGCGAGATACTGTACCGGTCTATACCGGTTTACCGGTAATATTGCACAGCCCTATCTCCCGATCCTTCGCCAGACATTCTAGTGACACAGATTAGCAAAAGCCAACACAGCTGCGATATGTCGCATGCATAAGGTATACTTGGCACTGAAAAAAGTAGAACTTTGATGCTAAATTACTTGAAATGTACAGAATTTCATGTTTACCATCCGTAAAATCAGCTAGGATAGCATGATTTGAATAGATTAACTTGTTGAAATGCTAGTTTTATCCTTTGTAGACTATGAAATAGAAGACTTGACATTGTATCTAAAGGAATGTTTAGAAATTGGAGAAGCATCTGAAGAAATCCAGCATGAAAGTAAATATATAGAGAATACTACACGAGGTCTCATTACATACGAATTATACGAAACGAGTGTCCTTCCTATGGTATCTGACCGAGCGAAAGCGAGGTCAGATACCATAGGAAGGTCACGAGTTTCGTATAATTCGTATGTAATGAGACCGAGTGTGGTATTTTATTTATTACCCACGTCTTACATGCATTAAACTGACAAAATAGCGTATTTTTTGTTTCGAACCGAAACCGGTTTCATAAAGAGGTTGCGGAAGAGTTTGTACTGTAGTACAATATTTGCATGACGTCACACTGTAATGACGTCACTGCCTTGGTAACCGACGTCACGATGCATGTCAGTTATCATCGCCTCGTACAGCCTCCTACAGTAAACTACTCCGTAGCACCCCGTTTCTTGGTTTGCAGTTGCTTCATTCGGCTAACATCACTGGTGTGAAACATTGCGTTTATGTTTTTCGACGGATATAATGTCTCAGTTCGACCCATAATTAAACAGCGACACGGCAACGTTCGCAATGTTTACATTCCCACAATGCATTTAAGTTGCAGAATGAATGAATTCACGTGTTTGTTAAAAATGAAAAAGTAGTTACGTCAGAATGTGACCTAATTGAGAGGTCATCGGTTATCCAATCAAATCGTTAGAATCTCAGGTCAAGTCGTTACGACACAGGTCAACGCGATACGACACTCGTGTGACGTACGAGATTAGTATGCAACTACCCAATTCTGCAAGTCTTTGACAAAACAATAACCGAACACAATCAAATGCCCTAATTCCAAGATTTTCTTCACTTCAAATCTTGTCGTACTCTTAAAACAAACAACCACCCCAAAACAAAAAAACAAACAAAAAAACAAACAAAAAAAACCCACCCCCAAAACCCCCCAAACCCTCGCAAGTAAGTTATCAAATTATGATGGATATAAAAGCAAAACTCCTAACATCAAAAACGAACTCGGGAGCTTGTGGGTGGGTGGGGCTTATCGGCTATTTTGGATCGTTCTGTCCCTGACATACGATGTGGAAAGATCATATTAAAGTAACAGCTATCGCAAGGATATTATCTCCCTGATAATTATCACATGTGTATGCTGTTATTTATATGGACAGTTGGTGTTGGGATACAGTTACATTATTTCGAGGATGTCGTTATATTAGTACCAGCGTACAGTTCTATTTTTACTATTTTCAGATTATTGCCGAAAATCATTGCAAGGATAATTATGGTCTGATATAGGGTGTGTATTGATTAGCAGTTTAGTTACTGCTGGTATTCCGCTGTATTGGTCTGATATAGGGTGTGTATTGATTAGCAGTTTAGTTACTGCTGGTATTCCGCTGTATTGGTCTGATATAGGGTGTGTATTGATTAGCAGTTTAGTTACTGCTGGTATTCCGCTGTATTGGTCTGATATAGGGTGTGTATTGATTAGCAGTTTAGTTACTGCTGGTATTCCGCTGTATTGGTCTGATATAGGGTGTGTATTGATTAGCAGTTTAGTTACTGCTGGTATTCCGCTGTATTGGTCTGATATAGGGTGTGTATTGATTAGCAGTTTAGTTACTGCTGGTATTCCGCTGTATTGGTCTGATATAGGGTGTGTATTGATTAGCAGTTTAGTTACTGCTGGTATTCCGCCGAATTATTGCAAACATTTCATTCAATAGCTGTTAGGAGGAAAATGTTAGTGCTGGTAAGGAGGCGCATCATTGCTGTTAAATGAAAAGTTGATCACATGTGTACACTTACTGCAGGGAAGTATGGCATGGATTCGTGGGATATAGGGTGTGTATTGGTGGGATATAGCGTGTGTATTGGTGGGATATAGGGTGTGTATTGGTGGGATATAGGGTGTGTATTGGTGGGATATAGGGTGTGTATTGGTGGGATATAGGGTGTGTATTGGCGGGATACAGGGTGTGTATATATATTGGTAGGATATAGGGTGTGTATTGTTGGATGTAGGTGTGTATTGGTTGGATATAGGATGTGTATTGGTTGGATATAGGATGTGTATTGGTTGGATATAGGGTGTGTATTGGTTGGATATAGGGTGTGTATTGGTTGGATATAGGATGTGTATTGGTTGGATATAGGGTGTGTATTGGTTGGATATAGGGTGTGTATTGGTTGGATATAGGGTGTGTATTGGTTGGATATAGGGTGTGTATTGGTTGGATATAGGGTGTGTATTGGTGGGATACAGGGTGTGTATATATATTCGTAGGATATGGGGTGTGTATTCTGGGATGTAGGAGTGTATTGGTTGGATATATGGTGTGTATTGGTTAGATATAGGGTGTGTATTGGTGGGATATAGTGTGTGTATTGGTGGGATGTATTGGTGGGATACTTGGTGTGTTTTGGTGGGATACAGTGTGTGTTTTGGTGGAACATAGTGTTTGTATTCCTGGGATGTAGGGTGTATATTGCTGGGATGTAGGTGTGTATTGGTGGGATATAGGGTGTGTATTGGTGGGATGTAGGGTGTGTATTGGTGGGATGTAGGGTGTGTATTGGTGGGATGTAGGGTGTGTATTCCTGGGTCATAGGGTGTGTATTCCTGGGATGTAGGTGTGTATTGGTAGGATATAGGATGTGTATTGGTGGGATATAGGGTGTGTATTGTAGGATATAGGGTTTGTATTCCTGGGATGTAGGTGTGTATTGCTGGGATGTAAGATCTGAATTGGTGGGATACAGGGTGTGTATTGATGAGATGTAGGGTGTGTATTAGTGGTGGCCCGATTAAAGGAAATAATCGAAGATTGGTCGCGATGACTAAACGACCAAGCAATCACTCATGTTTTCTCATAATCGAACACAAACAATTTTGGAACACTTGTTTGCTTTAAGAATATTTTTCACAAGGTTGGTTTTGTCTGTTACATTTCATAAGCACTACCAGCTCGTTCCATTTCAGTATTGAATTTATCTTATGGTCCTAACATACTAGTCACACTTTAAAGATGTAAACTTTAAGGATGTAATGTACCAATCATCAATTAGGACCAATTTTAACCAATTCCCAACACTAGTGTGCATTGGTAGGATATAGGATGTGTATTGGTGGGATACAGGGTGTGTATGGTAGGATATAGGCTGTGTATTGGTAGGATATAGACTGTATTGGTTGGATATGAGGTGTGCATAGCTGGGATGTAGGGTGTATTGGTAGGATGCATGGTGTGTATTGGTGGGATATAGGGTGTGTATTGGTTGGATATGAGGTGTGCATAGCTGGGATGTAGGGTGTATTGGTAGGATGCATGGTGTGTATTGGTGGGATATAGAATGTGTATTTGTGAAATGTAGGGTGTGTATTGCTGGGATGTAGGATGTGTATTGGTTGGATATAAGGTGTGTATTGGTTGGATATAGGGTGGGTATTGTGGGATGTGGGGTGTGTATTGTGGGATATGGGGTGTGTATTGTGGGATATGGGGTGTGTATTGCTGGGGTATGGGTTTGGATTCCTGGGATGTAGGTGTGCATTGGTGGGATGTAGATGTGTATAGGAATATAGGGTGTGTATTGGTAGGATATAGGGTGTGCATTAATGGGGTATGGGTGTATTCCTGGCATGTAGGTGTGTATTCGTGGGATATAGGGTGTGTATTGGTGGGATGTAGGGTGTGTTTTGGTGGGATGTGGAAGTGTATAGGAATATAGGGTGTGTATTGTAGGATATAGGGTGTGCATTGGTGGGATATAGGGTCTGTGTTGGTGGGATACAGGGTGTGTATTGTGGGAAATAGGGTGTGTATTAATGGGGTATGGGTGTATTCCTGGCATGTAGGTGTGTATTGGTGGGATATAGGGTGTGTATTGGTGGGGTATAGGGTATGTATTGGTGGGATTTAGGGTGTGGCTTATGGGATATAGGGTGTGTATTATGCGATATAGATGTTTATAGCTGGGATATAGGGTTTGTAAATTTGGAGTATGATTGTGAGTTGGTGGGATATAGCGGGTGTATTGTGGGATATAGAGTGTGAATTAAGGGATATAGGGTTAGTATTGCTGTGGTAGGGGTGTGTATTCCTGGGATGTAGGTTTGCATTGCGGTTGTGTATTGTGGGATATAGGGTGTGTATTTTTTTGGTATGGGTGTGAATTGTTGGGATATAGTGTTTGTATTACTGTGGTATGGACGTATTAGTGCTATAGGATATAGGTTGTGTGTTATGGGATGTTATTGCTGGAATATAGGTGCATATTGGTGGTATACAGGTAGTGTATTCGTTGGATATTAGGGTGTGTATTACTGCAGTACAGTTGTGTATTGCTGTTATATAGGGTGTGTATTGCTGTGGTATAGGGTGTGTATTGCTGTTATATAGGATGTGTATTGCTGTGGTACGGTTGTGTATTTATTGCTGGTATTTAGGGTTTGTATTGATGGGGAATGGGTGTGTATTGATGGGATATAGGGTTTGCATTACTGGGATATAGGGTTTGCATTCCTGGGATGTAGGTGTGTATTGGTGGGATATAGGGAGTGTAATGTGTATATGTGTGTCTTGGTGGGATATAGGGTTTGTATTCCTGGGATATAGGTGTGTATTGGTGGGATATAGGGTGTGTATTGGTGGGATATAGGGTGTGTATTGGTGGGATATAGGGTGTGTATTACTGGGATGTAGGTGTGTATTGGTGGGATATAGGGTGTGTATTGCTGGGATATAGGTTGTAATGCTGGAATATAGGGAGTGTATTGCTGGGATATAGGGTGTGTATTGCTGGGATATAGGGTGTGTATTGCTGGGATATAGGGTGTGTATTGCTGGGATGGTGTGTATGGGGATATAGTGTACTGCTGTGATATATAGGGTGTGTACTGCTGTGATATGATGAGAGTATTGTTGGGATAAGGGGGTGTATTGCTGAGATATGGGGTGTGTACTGCTGGGATATGGGGAGAGTATTGTTGGGATGTAGGGGTGTATTGCTGAGATATAGGGTGTAAATTGAGGGAATGTTGGGTGTGTATTGCTGGGATATGTGGAGAGTATTGCTCTGATATGGGGTGTGTACTGCTGTGATATGGGGTGTTTACTGGTGTGATATGCGGTGTGTATTGCTGGGATAAGGGGGTGTATTGCTGAGATATGGGGTGTGAACTGCTGGGATATGGGGAGAGTATTGTTGGGATGTAGGGAGCGTATTGCTGAGATATAGGGTGTAAATTGCGGGAATGTTGGGTGTGTATTGCTGGGATATGTGAAGAGTATTGCTGTGATATGGGGTGTGTACTGCTGTGATATGGGGTGTTTACTGCTGTGATATGCTGTGTGTATTGCTGGGATATGGGGTGTGTATTGGAGGGATAAAGGGAGTGCATTGCTGGGGTATGGGTGTGTATTACTGGGATGTAGATGTGTATTGTGGGATGTAGATGTGTATTGTGGGATATAGGGTGTGTATTGCAGGGATATGGGGTGTGTATTGCTGGTATGTGGTGAGTGTATTGCCAAGATATGGGGTGTGTATTGCTGGTATGTGGTGAGTGTATTGCCAAGATATGGGGTGTGTATTTCTTGGACAAAATATATTGTATTGCTGGGATATAAAGTGTGTACTGCTGGGATGTGGGGTGTGTACTGCTGGGATGTGGGGTGTGTACTGCTGTGACACGGGGTGTGTATTGCTGGACCATGAGGATTCTTTTTCTGGGATATATAGAGCGTATTGCTGGGATGTAGGGAGTGTATTGCTGGGATATGGGCTGTGTATTGCTGGGATATGGGGTGTACATTGCTGGGGTAAGGGAGTGCTGGGATATGGGGTGTGAACAGACGGGATATGGGGAGTATTGTTGGGATGTAGTGAGCGTATTGCTGGGATATAAGGTGTGTATTGCTGGGTTATGGGGTGGGTATTGCTGGTATATAGGGGATGTATTAGTAGAATATGGTCTGTCTATTGCTGGGATAGGGGATGTGTATTGCTGGGATAGCGGCTGTGTATTGCTTGGACATAGGAGTGTATTGCTTGGATATAGGAGTGTATTGCTTGGATATAGGAGTGTATTGCTTGGATATAGGAGTGTATTGCAGTTATATGGGGTGTGTATTGCTGGTATATAGGGAGTATTAGGAGAATATGGGCTGTGTATTGCTGAAATATGGGGTGTGTATTGCTGAGATTTGGGGTGTGTATTGCTGGGATATTGGTAGTGTATTGCTGGGTTATGGGGTGGGTATTGCTTGTTTGTAGGGAGTGTATTAGTAGAATATGGTCTGTGTATTGCTGGGATAGGGTGTGTGTATTGGTGGGATAGGGACTGTGTACTGCTGGGATATAGGAGTGTATTCGTTGGATATGGGGTGTGTATTGCTTGGATATGGGGTGTGTATTGCTTGGACATGGGGTGTGTACTGCTGGGATGTGGGTGTATTGCTGGAACATGAGGATTGCATTGCTGGGATATATAGAGCTTATTGCTGGGATGTAGGGAGTGTATTGCTTGGATATGGGGTGTGTATTGCTTGGACATGGGCTGTGTATTGCTTGGATATGGGCTGTGTATTGCTTGGATATGGGTGTGTATTGCTTGGATGTTGGGTGTGTATTGCTGGTATATAGGGAGTGTATTAATTGAATATGGGCTGTGTATTGCTGGGATATGTGGTGTGTATTGCTTGGATATGGGTGTGTACTGCTGGGATGAGGGAGTGTATTGCTGGGATGAGGGAGTGTATTGCTGGGATGAGGGAGTGTATTGCTGGGATATGGGGTGTGAACAGATGGGATATGGGGTGTGTATTGCTGGGACATGAGGTGTGTATTGCTTGGATATGTGTGTGTATTGTTTGCATGTTGGGTGTGTATTGCTGGTATATAGGGAGTGTATTAGTAGAATATGGGCTGTGTATTGCTGGGATGGGGTGTGTGTGTGTGTGTGTGTATTCCTTTGATATGGGGTGTGTATTGCTGGGATATGGGGTGTGTATTGCTGGGATATGGGGTGTGTATTGCTGGGATATGGGGTGTGTATTGCTGGGATATGGGGTATGTATTGCTTGGATATGGGGTGTGTATTGCTGGGATATGGGGTGTGAATTGCTGGGATATGGGTGTGAATTGCTGGGATATTGGGTGGGTATTGCTGGGTTATGGGGTGGGTATTGCTGGGTTATGGGGTGGGTATTGCTGGTATGTAGGGAGTGTATTAGTAGAATATTGGCTGTGTATTGCTGGGAAATGGGGTGTGCATTGCTCGGATATGGTGTGTGTATTGCTGGGATAATGTCATTTTCTGAGTAAAATTGATATTTTATACTTATCCTGACTCATGCTTCTTGCTTGTCTCTTTCCTCTTGCGAACTTAGTGGAACACTTGTATCTCCTATTGAAGCTCCCTTCAATAAAACAGACGTAAAATCACTACTCACCAGAGTTGTCTCTATTTTCGTTTTGGCGGGAAACTGTGGCGCCACCGTTCTCCCACGCTTCACTCTCTCCGGATTATGAGCCCGACACTTGAATTTGCAGGGAAATCCAAAGTGTCTAGTGGGAAGGTTGGGAGGGCTTACCTCATAAGTCAGGATAAGTATAAAATATCAATTTTACTCAGAAAATTACATATTTTTCCTTATCCTGACTCATGCTTATTGCTTGTAGAATCCGACGGATTGGCGGCGGGCTGTTACTTTGGATGTCATGTAGTGATTTACGTCATCTATACCCCCCTATGGGAACTTCGTATGGGCACTGTACTGTAACTGCTAATCTGTGCTGCTGCTGCGACCTTGTCCTTCAGCTGCCTTTTGATGGGGGGACCACAATAGTTAACTTTTGGTCGTTTCTTCTGTTAACATTTTATGTGGATTTTTGCGACTCCATTTCTTGATGCAAGCATCAAGTGGAGAAGCGACCCTTTTCTGTACGAGTATCCTTACAAGTACTTGGTCATATCACTTATGCTAGTCCTTAGACGTGCATTGAGACTTAAGCAGAACTCTGCTGAGTGTAGGCTTTGTAAGTCATTTGATAAAAGGGCGAGACTTCGTCTCAACGCCTTTGCGGGACTGTCGACTGTTGTGCTACAACCAGTGGCCCGAAATGGTGAATGCCTCGGTGGCGATGTCCCTCAGATAGTGGTTGGCAAACACCATGTCTGATTTCCAAAAGCAGCCCTCCATTATCGTCTTGAGCGAGCAATTCCCCATGTAGAGCGAGTGTTGACGCCAGAGCTCTAACTTCATGTGGGTTGGAGGCTTTTGGAGGATCTAGTCCTGCTGCTTTGTAGGCCCGTAGTATGACAGTTCTGATCCAGATTGATCTTGTAGTGCGGGAGACCTCCGTCTGTGTCGCTGTTGATATCGGGACGAAAAGTGGCTTGAACTTGCGTCTCCTGATTCTGGATCGTTGTAGATATACTTTTAATGCTCTCAATGGGCACAAGGATAGGTCGTGCGTATCTTGTGGTCCAAGGATGGAGGATAATGCTAGCACGTGGAATTGTCTGTCCGGTTGACCTGGCAGTTGATTCTTTGCGATGAAATCCCATCGTAGTCCCATATGCACTGTGTTTTGATTTTCATCAAAGCGTGTTCTCTCGTAGTCCAGAGCATGTATTTCCGACATCCTGGCTGCTGTTGCTAGGGCTAGCAGGAACAGCGTCTCATGTGTCAAGAATTCGAAGGATGTCCTGTCTAATGGTCTGTAGACGTCACTGGTGAGATGTCGTAGAACAACATTGAGGTCTCACGCCGGAGCTTTGAATCTCTGTTGTTGGTCCTCCAATTTATAAGAGCATAGCAAGGCCAGTAACTCTGGTACTTTCATTAGCTTGGCACCTGTCCTCATAGTGATGACTGAGCTCAATGCCGCTAGGTATGTTGAGAGTGTAGACCTTTTTAACCGTTTTGTTTGCCGTAGGTGACAAATGTAGTCCGCCACTTGAGGGTGCGTTGCTTTTCTAGCTGAAAAACAGTTCCTTGCAGCGTGTGTCTCAAAACTTCGCCACTTGTCGTCGTACAAGTTGCGTGTAGACTTGCGTAGAGCTAGTGTCACTGCTTTCGCTGCTCTGGCGGAGTACCCTCTCTTGTTCAAGCACGCCTTGATACAGTCCACACGTGTAGTCGGAACGCCCCTGGGTTGCCGTGTGCCTGCTTTGTGTGAGGATGTACTAGTAGATTCGTCCACTCTGGTAGTTGCAGTTGCGGTGGTCCTAGTTCTTGTATGAGACTGGGGAACCACTCTCTCGCTGGCCAGTAGGGCGTGACCAAAATCAGTTGTAGGGTCGTGGTCTGGCTGATTTTCTGCAACACCCTCGGTATTAGAGCTGGCGGTGGAAACGCGTACACGTTTAGTCCCTCCCAGGATATGCTGAGAGCGTCCGTTGCCCACGCTCGAGGATCTGGTATTGGTGAGACGAATGTTGTCAGCTGATTGTTGAAGCTTGTGGCGAAAACGTCTATTAGCGGGGCTCCCATCTCCTTGATGATTTGTTTGAAGATCTCTGGATGTAGCATCCATTCCGTTGGAGACGGTTGAGTTGGACGGGAGAGGGCGTCTGCTATCACATTCATGGCTCCTGGAATGTGGCATGCTTGTATGTGGATGTTCAGATCGTCGGTTAGGTCGAACAGTTGAAAGCAGAGGTCCAGCAGGTTCAATGATCGTGTTGATCCTTGCTTGTTTATGTAAAACGCCACTGTGGAGTTGTCCGTGTGCACCATTAGATGAGCACTCTGTAGAATGTTGGCCCAGTGGAGTATGGCGTTGACGACTGCTTTCGTTTCCAGCATGTTGATGTGCAGATTTTCCTCCTCGTTGTTCCATCTCCCGGCCGCCACTTCGTTGTCGAGGTGTGCTCCCCAACCTTGGAGTGACGCGTCAAAGTACAGATGAGTCTTGCACTCCGGCTCTGCTAAGTAGGTGCCTTCGCAGACATTCGATCTCTGGGTCCACCATAGTAGATGTGGTCTTAGGTAGGCCAGGAGACCGAAGGGGTCCAGGTCGTTGAGATGAGCATTGACGAAGACCTGTAACGGGCGTAGTTGTAACCGACCTCTGGCTGTCATGTCTTGTGCTGACGTGAGGAGACCCAACAGACTCTGTCATTTTTGTAGTGGCCACGGAGAGAGTAGAGCTTGTGATATTGTCTATTGAATCTTGAGCCATCAGTCTTCTGGTACGATGATGCGGTTCTGCGTCGTGAGAAATCTGATGCCTAGAAACTGCAGGTCCTGTGTAGGTTCTAGGTCCGATTTGAGTAGATTCACTAGCCACCCCAGTTGTGTAAGCAGTCTGATGGTGAATTCCAGCTGTAGTCTGAGATGCTTGGGATCTTGATGTACTTGAATCCCGTCGTCGAGGTAGAATGCACTGCGTAGACCTCGACGATGTAGATATGTGACTATGGGCTTCGTCACCCTTGTAAACAACCAGGGGGCCGATGATATTCCAAATGGCAGGACTTTCCATTGGTAGTGAAGACCGCCCAGTGTAAACCTGAGGTACTTCCTCGAGGCCGGATGTACAGGAATATGCAGGTAGGCTTCCTGTAGATCTGTGCTGGCCATGTAGTCCATCGGACGGATGAGGTGGAGCAATTGAGGTAGATGTATCATGCGGAACTTGGGAGGACTGCGTAGATAATCTCTGTTGAACGTCCTCATATTGAAGATAAGTCGGAACTTTTATTTAGAGTTTTTCTTGGGCACTAGGAAAACTGGGGAGTAGAACCCTGGTGTGATGTGGGCTGGATCCACAACTTCTATGGCTTGCTTCTCTAGTAGAGATGAAACCGCCTCTCGTAACCTCTCTGTCAGATGGGTCTTGAAGCCGAACTTGTGAGGGTCGACTGTAAGCGGTGGAGCTGCTTTTAGTTGTATACGATATTCGTTTCTTAGGACTCTGGATACAAACGCATCTTGCAGAAGTCCCCAGTTTTCCCAGTACCGTTGCAGACGTCCACCCACTTGTGAAGGTTGTACGGGAACGGCTGGGGGTGGAAGACTCCAGTCGTTCCGAACCCCTCTTTCATCATCGATGATCCTTGGCGCCTCTGGGTGCCCTGCCTCGTCCGGGGTGTCACCGGTAAGGTGACGAAAAGAATCTTTTCCACCTCTGGAGGTACTCATTTTCTTGTCCCTTGCCTTCTGCATCCCGGCGAACTTTGACTTGCCCGAGTAGCGCGCTGAGATGTCTGCCTGATGACGCTGGCCAGTGTATCAATGGACTTGATCATGAGGACCTCTCTGGAGTCTTTGGTGACTTCCGTGGCAACGTTGTCAATCTCTCCAGCGAAGATGGATGGAGTTGACCATGGGGCGCTGTAGAGTGACTTGGTGAAGCGTTCACTCCAGCTGCAGGAGGCGAGGAGACCTTGTTGTCTTGCTAGTGTCAGTGCTGCGGAGATGGATGAGAGATGGTCTGTCATAAATTGCTAGTCCTTCTTCTGCATAAGGAGTGCAGAGTATATCATCGTGTCTTCTTCCGCAGTAGAGTCCCTGAACTTAGCGATGAGCATTTCATTGACTGTCCTTGATCTGTTGAGGCCGAAGAACATCCACCTGGTCATCGTTTCGACTTGTGCCAACTTCTTGTCTTCGATTTTATAAGACTTGGTCTTGGCATCGCTGATGACTTTGAAGTTCTCGTCAATGTCCTGTGCCTTCATGAACGGATCCATGTTGTGGGATGAGAACTTTTTGGCGTTGAACTGTGGCAGATGCGGTGCCTGGGCTTTCGTGGCTTTCTTGAAGGCTGCATCCAAGTTCTCTGGGACCGCTGCGATGGGATCAATCGGTGGGAGAGTGATCGTGTGGACGTCATCATCTTGCATGAGATAGGTGTGAGCTGCATTCACTTCATTAGATGGTGACGCCAAGTCCAGACCGTTGGCCATCCAGTAGCGTATTTCTGAGTCCGAAAAAATGATCCCGTCGTCGTCCTTTGTGACAGGTGGATTGAGCAAGGAATCTTGTTCCTCCTCCGGTGGTGATCTGGGCGGTGACCTTTGCGACTGCGGGGGACCTGTGTGGAGACTTGTGTGGAGGCTTGCGTGGAGACCTTCGCGGAGACCTGCATGGAGACCTGCATGGAGATCGGCGTGGGGAGGAGCCCGGTGAACTGCGTCTATAGGGAGACCTGTGCTGAGACCTGCGCGGAGATGAGCGACTCTTGGTTCGCGAATGCCTCAGCGAATCCCTCAACGATCTGCGTGATGTGGAAGAAGTTTTGGAAACTGTATCCTAAGTCCTTTCCGAGTGCCTTCGCGAATGCTGATCATCTGAGTCCGCATCTGGGGCGAGACGATTGGTCCTTCGCGAGTGCCTGCGTGAATGCTGATCGTCCGAGTTCGCAGTAGCGGATGGTTGAGCCGTCCTTCGCGCAGGCTGGTCCTGAGGCGCAGATCAGTTCCCAGACGTCACGTTGGTGGAGGGCCTCTCTGAAGCGTCGACTACGTTGGAACCTTCGCGAAGGCTCGGGTCCTTTCTGCGGGCTGGATGTTGATCGTGCGATGCCCTCTCTAGTGCGAAGCGCTTCTCCATCATTTCCATGATCTGTTGGGAAAACTGTTGCATAAAGGCCCCCCGGGTTGAATGTCTGCGGTGATAGATGAGCTGCCCTTTCTGCGGTGGTAGCGATATTGTCCAAGGACCGCTCATCTGCCAGCAGGGTAGATACCTCGGGCTGTGGAGAGATCTGCGCTGAAGTCACCGTTGCTGAGACTGGCCTCTTCTTGTGGTGTACCTCTGGGATGATGAGCGGCTGCTCATCGTAGAGTCCCTGTTCCATCAATGGGACAATCTCGGCCGAGAAAGTCCGTGTAGTCTGCGCTGATTTCCCCTTAGAGGTGGTCGTCGCCCTGGGGGTGCGTAGCTGTCTCTGGGTAGATGACGACTTCTTACTCTTAGGCTGTGACGATGGGACGTCCGGAGTAGCAGGCCTCTTCTTGCAGGTGGCGGACACCGTCCCACGCCCGTCCCCCGAGGAAATCTCCGGCGTAGCACAAGACGGAAGAGGGTCGTCTGACAACAGTTGACCCGTGAGGGACTCAGTTGGTTTCTCCATGACCTGACACACCCGTCTCGACCTATCTGCAGCACGTCTAAGGACACAAAGAAGGTATTTATTAAATGCAAAATTATTTAAATGCTGGCAATGAATGCAGCGCGAGCAGGAAGAACATGGCTCAATGCAACCAGGGCACAGTTGATGAGGGTCAGCAGCAGAGAATCGAAATCTACAATTGAAACAGGTTTTCATGAAAGGTAAACAACTGAACAAACACGGACAATTCCGTGAATAAACAGTGCTAAATACGATTAAATATCAAACCATATTGTTGAAGAATACTAACTTAACCTTTATAAAAGTATAATAGAGGAGAAAAACTAAGTAAATAAAGGATATAGTGCCGTATAGGAGACACAGGCGCTCTCACAAACTGCTCACAGGGCGAAGAAGGAGAGATTGAAGCGTGGGAGAACGGTGGCGCCACAGTTTCCCGCCAAAACGAAAATAGAGACAACTCTGGTGAGTAGTGATTTTACGTCTGTTTTATTGAAGGGAGCTTCAATAGGAGATACAAGTGTTCCACTGAGTTCGCAAGAGGAAAGAGACAAGCAATAAGCATGAGTCAGGATAAGGAAAAATTGAGGTGTCTACTACTGGGATATGTGGTGTTTAATGCTACGATGTGGGCTGTGTATTGCTGGGATCTATGTGTGTATTGTTGGGTTATAGGGTGTATATTGCTTGGATATACGGTGTGTACTGCTGGGATATGGGTCGGGTATTGCTTGGATATGGGGTGTGTATTGCTGCGATATGGGGTGTGTATTGCTTGGATATAGGATGTATATTGCTTGGATATACTGTGTGTATTGCTGGGATGTTGGGTGTGTATTGCTGGGATATGGGGAGTGTATTGTTGGGTTATAGGGTGTATATTGCTTGGATATACGGTGTGTACTGCTGGTATAAAGGGAGTATTGCTGGTATATAGGGAGCGTATTGTTGGGATATGGGGTGTGTATTCCTGGGATATAGGGGGCGTATTGCTGGGACAGTGGTCTGTATTGCTGGGATATGGGGTGTGTATTGCTGGGATATGGGGTGTGTATTGCTCGGATATGGGGAGAGTACTTCTGGGATATGGGATGTGTATTGCTGGGATATGGGGAGTGTATTGTTGGGTATAGGATGTATATTGGGGTGTGTACTGCTGGGATATGGGATATTGTTGGATAGGGTGTATATTGCTGGTGTATTGCTGATATGGGGTGTATTTGCTTGGATATACGGTATGTACTGCTGATATGGGGTGTATATTGCTTGGATATACAGTGTGTATTGCAGTGTATTGCTTGGATATACAGTGTGTACTGCTGGGATATAGGGTGTATATTGTATACGGTGTGTATTGCTTGGATATAGGGTGTATATTACTTGGATATGGATATACTGGAATATGGTGTGTGTATTGCTGGGATATGGGGTGTGTATATATGGGGTGTATATTGCTTGGATATAAGTACTTCTGGGATATAGGATGTGTATTGCTGGGATATAGGGTGTATATTGGGATGTATATTGCTTGGATATACATATAGTGTGTATACTAATGGGACTGGGATGTGTATTGCTGGGATAAAGGGGTATTGTATATTACTGGGATGCAGATGTGATTGATTGGGTTTAGGGTGTGTCTTGCTGGGGTATGGGTTTGTATTCCTTAGATGTAGGTGTGTATTGGTGGGATATAGGGTGTGTATTGAAGGGCTCTATGTGTGTATAGCTGGGATGTTGGGTGTGTATAGCTGGGATATGGGGAGTGTATTGTTGGGTTATAGGGTGCATATTGCTTGGATATCTGGTGTGTGGGATATACTGCTGGGATATACGGTGTGTTTTGATTGGATATGGGGTGTGTATTGCTGGGATATGTGGTATGTATTGCTGGGATACGGGGTGTGTATTGCTGGGATATGGGGTGTGTATTGATGGAATATGGGGTGTGTACTGCTGGGATATGGGGTGTGTACTATTGGGATATGGGGTGTTTATTGCTGGGATAAAGGGAGTGTATTGCTGGGGTATGGGCGTGTATTACTGGGATGTAGATGTGTATTGATTGGGTATTAGGGTGTGTCTTGCTGGGATATGGGGAGCGTACTGCTGGGATGTGGGGTGTGTACTGCTGTGATATGGGGTGTGTACTGCTGTGATATGGGGAGTGTATTGCTGGGATATGGAGTGTATTGCTGGGATATGGAGTGTATTGCTGGAACATGAGGATTGTATTGCTGGGATATATAGAGTGTATTGCTGGGATGTAGGGAGTGCATTGCTGGGATAGGGTGTGTGTAGTGCTGGGATAGGGTGTGTGTAGTGCTGGGATAGGGTGTGTGTAGTGCTGGGATAGGGTGTGTGTAGTGCTGGGATAGGGTGTGTGTAGTGCTGGGATATGGGGTGTGTACTGCTGGGATATGGGGTGTAAATTGCTGGGATAAGGGAGTGTCTTGCTGGGATATGGGGTGTGAACAGACGGGATATGGGGAGAGTATTGTTGGGATGTAGTGAGCATATTGTTGGGATATGGGGTGTGTATTGCTGGGATATGGAGTGTGTATTGCAGGGATATGGGTGTGTATTGCTGGGTTATTGGGTGGGTATTGCTGGTATATAGGGGATGTATTAGTAGAATACTGGCTGTGTATTGGTGGGATAGGGGGGGTGTATTCCTGGGATAGGGGGTGTGTGAATAGCTTGGATATGGGGGGTGTATTGCTTGGATATACGGTGTGTACTGCTGGGATATGGGGTTTGTATTGCTAGTATAAAGGGAGTGTATTGTAGGGATATAGGGAGCGTATTGTAGGGATATAGGGAACGTATTGCTGGGATATAGGGAGCGTATTGCTGGGATATAGGGAGTGTATTGCTGGGATATAGGGAGCGTATTGCTGGGATATGGGTGTGCATTGCTGGTATAAAGGGAGTGTAATGCTGGGATATAGGGAGTGTATTGCTGGGATATGTGGTCTGTATTGCTGGGATATGGGGTGTGTATTGCTGGGATATGGGTAGAGTACTACTGGGATATGGGATGTGTACTACTGGGATATGGGGTGTTTATTGGTGGGATGAAGTGAGTGTATTGCTGTGGTATGGGTGTGTATTGCTGGGATAGGGAATTATTGCTGGGATATTGTATTCCTGATATAGCTGGGATATAGGAAGTGTATTGCTGGGATATAAGTAGGGAGTGTATTGCTGGGATACAGGGTGTGTATTGCTGGGATACGGGGAGTGTATTGCTGGTATAAAGGGAGTGTATTGCTGGGATATAGGGAGTGTATTGCTGGGATATGGGTGTGTATTGCTGTGATATGGGGAGAGTACTACTGGGATATGGGATGTATACTATTGGGATATGGGGCGTTTATTGGTGGGATAAAGGGAGCGTATTGCTGGGGTATGGGTGGGTATTGCTGGGATGGAGGTAGTGTATTGCAGGGATATGGAGAGTGTATTGCTGGGATGTTGGATGTGTATTGCTGGGATATGAGGTGTGTATTGCTGGGATATGGTGAGGGTATTGCTGAGATATGGTGAGTGTATTACCGGGATATGGAGTGTGTCTTTCTTGGATAAAAGCGTGTATTGCCGGGATGTGAGGTGTGTATTAGTGGGATATGGGGAGTGCATTGGTGGGTTATAGGGTGTGTATTGCTGGGATATAGAGGGGATGTGTATTGCTGGGATGTAGGGAGTGTATTGCTGGGATGTGGGAGTGTACTGCTGGGATATTTGGAGGCAATCTGGTGTGTACTGCTGGGATATGGGGTGTGTATTGCTGGGATGTATTAGGGGAGTGTATTGCTGGGATATGGGATGGGTGTGTATTACTTGATGTATATGTATTGGTGTATTGCTGGGATATAGGAGTGTATTGCTGGGATATATGGAGTGTATTGCTGGGATATATGGGCATGTATTGCTGGGATATATGGAGCGTATTGCTGGGATATATGGAACCCTATTGCTGGGATATATTGTATTGCTGGGATATATGGTGTGTATTGCTAGGATATATGGTGTGTATTGCTGGGATATATGGAAGGGATATATGTATTGCTGGGATATATAGGTGTGTATTGCTGGGATATATAGAGTGTATTGCTGGGATATAGAGTGTGTGTCTGTATTGCTTGGATATGGAGTGTGTATTGCTGGGATATGGAGAGTGTACTACTGGGATATGGGATGTGTGTATTGGTGGGGATATAGGGAGTGTATTGCTAGGGTATGGAAAGGGTAGTGTATTGCTGGGATATAGGGAGCGTATTGCTGGGATGGGTTTGTATTGTGATATTAGTAGGATATAGGAAGAAATAGTGTATTGCAGCTTTGGATATGGGATGTGTGTATTTCTGGGATATAGGGTGTGTATTGCTGGGATATAGAGTGTATTGCTATTATATGGGAGTGTATTGCTGGGATATATGGAGTGTATTGCTGGGTTATATGGGTGAGTGTATTGCTGGGATATAGGGAGCATTGCTGGGATATAGTGTGTATTGCATGGGAGTATTGCTGGGATATGGGGTGTATAAAATTATAGGTGTATTGCTGGGTATGAAATGTTGCTAGGATATATATTGAGCGTATTGCTGGGATATAGGGAGTGTATTGCTGGGATATATGGAACTGAGATATTGCTTGGATATGGGTCTGTATTGCTTGGATATAGGGTGTGTATTGCTGGGATATGGAAAGTACTACTAGGATGAGATGTGTACTATTGGGATATAGGGTGTGTATTGGTTGGATAAAGGGTGTGTATTGCTTGGATATGGGGTGTGTATATGATCAGCATGTAGATGTGTGTGTGGTTGGGTATAGGGTGCGTCTTGCTGGGGTATGGGTTTGTATTCCTAGAGATGTAGGTGTGTATTGGTGTGAAATAGGGTGTGTGTGGGATATGCAGTGATATGGGATGTTGGGTGTGTATTGCTGGGATGTTGGGTGTGTATTGCTGGGATGTAGGGAGTGTATTGATGGGATATGGGATGAGTACTACTGGGATATGGTGAGTGTATTGCTGGGATATAGGGAGTGTATTGCTGGGATATAGGGAGTGTATTGCTGGGATATAGGGAGTGTATTGCTGGGATATAGGGAGTGTATTGTTGGGATATAGGGAGTGTATTGCTGGGATATGTGGTTTGTATTGCTGGGATATGGGGAGTGTATTGCTGGTATAAAGGGAGCGTATTGCTGGGATGGAGGGAGTGTATTGCAGGGATATGGAGAGTGTATTGCTGGGATGTTGGGTGTGTATTGCTGGGATATAGGGATTATTGCTGGGATATAGGGGAGTAGTGTTGGATATAAAGGGAGTGTATTGTTGGGATATAG